TAAAACGACGATAATTTTTCTGATAGATAACAGAAGACTGTATTTTTTCTACATAACCCCCCCACCTGAATTTAAAGCTAGATCTGCCCCTGATCACATATGGAAGAGTCTTAGGTCTGAAGTTGCTAAGAAGTTTAGACAAATCAAACCTAAACCTATATAAGGTCAATGCGGGTTGAAAATGAATATTTGCAATGTAGAAAAAAAAATAGAATTTTAAATCCAGATAAAGTAGCTACTTGCAATAATCACTCTATATAGAAGATTTTTCAGTTTAAAAACTTGGAGAAATTCAATCAAATCGCACGAAAACCTGATTTTTACAGTCCGATAAATGCGGGCTCGAACATTTATCTCGTCAAACAAGTACACCCACTGTCCAAAAATTCAGAACTTCTATCAGGAACGAAGCAGCTCTTTGAAATTTTCCGTGTACATCGAGAAATGAAGTTTTTTAATTGTGTAAAAATTTCAGTTAAATCGCATCGAAATTTGATTTTTCATCATCAGGCCAATGCGGGCGAAAAAATGAATGTGTTCAAACAACTGCATGCGGTACTCTAAAAATTCAGAATTTCTAACTGAGGTGAAGCAGCCCCTAGGGATTCTCAGTGGAAATAGAAAACTCCAGTTGCTAAAAGTAGTGAAAAAGTGAATCTAATCGTGCAGACAGCCAATTTTTGACTATCAGGTCCATGCGGGCCGAAAAATGAATGTCTTCAAACAATCACTCGCCGCTTTATAAAAAATCAGAACTTCCCACTCAAATGAGGCAGTTATTTGCCGTTTTCCGTATATGTAGCGAACTTTTAGCACCAAGAGCTATTGCAAAAATTTCAGTCAAATTGCACTAAAAGCTTGTTTTTGGCAATCAAGTTAATGGGGAGCTGAAAAATGAAATTTCAAGCAATTACACTCCGTCCTTTAAAAAATTATTATGTTCGATCTGGGTGAAGCAGCTTCTTGCTATTTTCAGTATACATAGATAGGTTTTGGTTCCAACCGCTGTAGAAATTTTAGTCAAATCTCATCCAAACTGGATTTTTGACAATCAAGTCAATGCGGGATGCAAACTCAAAATAAAACTAAGCTAGACGACTTTTGAGTGTAAAATCCTGGCAAGTTTCACCAACATTCTAACAAACCCTAGTTTTTGGCATCCAAATTATCCTAGTTTTTATACAAAATTAGCTTTGAACTATGCGATGGGGTGAAGGTAGGAACAATTAATCAAAAATTGTCCATTAATTTATTAGAGCCGGGGAAATTTGCGAATGAAGCAACTGATTATGCATTATGTGATTTTGCTCCAAGCTTAAAGCCAAGATGATTGATTGACTTGTTCCTATTATAGCACTAGTAATACTGTTTGAAATCACTGAGCAGCTTGTTAGGGACTAATCGGCTTATGGTTTAATTAAATTAATACCGCTATTCTAAAAAACTGCACGAAAACTTGTAGGCTCCTAAGTTGTGGTCAGTTTCAACATTAGCGGTTTCATTAGCACATCTACATCAATTAATCGTTTGTCTGAATCCCTGATGATTAACATTTGAGCGCTTTGAGTAAAGGATAATGTTGTAATTTGGTCCCATTGATTCAATGGAAATAGTTGACTTTAGCATTGGGTTTAAAGGCTTTAGCGTTAGGAAAAATCGGGGAATTTCCCTTGATTTACTTTTGCCAATTGCGCTCAGAAACCCAATTAGATTTGCCATCGATTTGTATTTATGTATGTGTTAAGAGTTAAGTAAATGGAAGGCTGTCAACTCTATTGACTCTGATAAGGGTTAATTGCCGGGCCACGTAAGGAAAAAATAACCCTTTAAGCCTGGGAAAACGCCAACCTTTCCACTAACGACAGCATGGGATTTCAAATCCATGTGAATGTCGTTTAAGTGCTTCGTCGTGCTTCGAATACTCAAGCAGCAGAAAACCACCGAAAAAAACTCTTTGTCTTCATTATTTGAAATGGATATTAATTGCAGCTGAATCGAAACAATCACTAAGTTATCTTAATTTTAGGCTACAGACATTCTCATTAAGATTCGATGATTATGGCCGGGAAGTTAATGGAAAACCTTCCCCAGATTGAGTAAAAGCGAAATGATAAATTATAGCTGATGGGACGATCTGGATCGAGCTGGACCCAACAGTGAATAAAAGAAGACGTTTGCCGAAATTAATCGACAAATTATGCCCACAAATCAAGGAATTTCGGTACTGAAATATTTCGTTGGATTCTTGTGTGTGTGAGTTTTGGGTTTGGGGAAGACGCGAAGCGCAGAAGTTGCTGCTGAAGCGGTTTTCCGACTGGTAAAACTGGAAAGGTCGGGTAGTTGACGCGACGAGCGCATATTTTGTCGATGGAGAAGAGAAACCGGGCGGATTTTCAGATCGGGAAACTTTCACGTACTTTGCGCGTAATTAGTGCGGTGTGAAACGCGCGTTAATTTGTTACCCTGTTGATGATGGCTTCAGACTTTTAACTCGATTGGTAAGAATTTGGCGTATTTTTTTATTGTTCTCATTGCCATTGAGGTAAACACTTCACTTGTCCTGATACCGGTTTCCAAATGTGCAACTTGACTCAATTGATTTTTACCTACTACTTTCTAATTAAGCTGAAAATACGATGTTTGTTTATTAATAAGTGAGAACAATTTGCAAAAAATTCTCATTCCTGCATTAACAGTTTGGTGTGTTTTTTTGCGGTTTTGTTTCAAAAATAACGTTTGCTATTTTTGTTCAATTACTCTTAAATTTAGAGATTTGGCAAAATTTTGATTCAGCTGAGTAAACATTCGAGCGATTTTCAAATGGTATGCATGGAATAACACTTTTATTTGCATTAGAATTGAATAAAGATTATTCGATTAGCTTGAAAGCGTCTGAGAGTGAAAAAATGTTTGCAGTAAATTCTTCGGCATAAGCTCCAAAGCAATGAGAATTTTGCACTAATTTCAATATAGATGGAAGGTCTGGAAGACGTAGCGGAAATTTCCGAAATTGATGCCCAAATTAGGAACTTATGAGCGGAAAATTGGAATTTACTGTAGCGAATTAGTGATTTATGGGAACATTCGGAACTCTAATAAGCCATTGTGAGGATCTTAAGGTAAATTCGAAAATCCTTTCCGTTGTTTTGAAATATTCAATGAGTACGCGGATCAAGCCATTTAAAGACACGTTTTATGGAAAGTTAAATCCTGCATTTTAATCATGATAATTAGATGGATGTACAGGGTGGTCTGTATCTAAAGTGACAAAAAATATTGGGGTTCACTACTTTTGGGCAAAATTCGAAAATTCCAGAAAATCCGTTGAGCCATAAATCTCTAGTTTTTATTGCGAGCTGGAGCGTCAATTTGCATACTTTTGATACAAAACATTCTTTTAGAAATCATTCTGGTTTTCACCAAAAAGACAAAAATTTTAAATTATTGCGAATTTTCAAAACCGCTCGTTTTCGTTGGCTCGTATTTAGATGACCGGATAAGTTAGAAAGGTCTAGTCTTGAAGTAGTCAGAAATTGTGTACATTTTTATAATAAAAAATCATTTTCCAAAGTTCCTAGTTTTTAAGCAAAAAGTGAAACTTTAAGATTGATGCGAGCTTTCAGAATCGTTCCTATTTCTTGGCTCGTATTTATCGAGAACCCGTTGAGCCACAAAGCTCTAGTTTTATTACGAGATAGACCGTTAAATTGCAAACTTTTAAATCGTTGTAAAAATGTTTCTAGTTTTGAGGCAAAATGAGTAAATTAACGATGAATGTGAGTTTTCGGAACCGCTCTTATTCGTTGGCTCGTTTTTAGAGAACACTTAGAGCAATATCGTTTTCGCTTTTATTCTAAGATAGAGCACTAAATTGCCTACGTTTTTTTATATACTAAACAGCATTTTCGAAAGTTTGGCTATTTTTCAACCAAACACGAAAATTCACAATTATTGCAAATATTCAGAACCGCTCTTATTTGTTCGCTCTTCTTTAGACAATCGGTTGAGTCAAGAAAATCTAGTTTTTCTTACGAGATAGAGCGTTAAATTGTTTACTTTTACATACCACAAATTACGTCAGAAATGGTTTTAGTTCTCACGGAAAATGCCAAAATTTAAATTTATTGCAAATTTTCAGAACCGCTTTTAATCGTTGGTTCGTATTTAGATAACCCGATGAGCTAGAAAACTCTTCTTTGTATTACTACATAGCGCGTTAAATTGCGTACATTTTTATAACAAATACTATGCTAGAAATATTTCCAGTTTTTACACAAGATGCGAAAATTCACAATGCATGTGAGTTTTCAGAACTGCTCCTGTTCGTTGGCTAGCATTTGGAGCACGAGTTTGTTACAAAGCTCTGACTTTTATTGCTTTTATTGCAGATAGAGCGATGAATTACGTCATTTTCTTATAACAAACATCACCTACGATTGTTTCCTATTTTTGAACCAAATGCGAAATTTCTAAATTTTTGCGACTTTGCAGTACCGTTCTTATTTGTTAGCTCGTCTATAGATAACCGGTTGATCTAGAAAACTCTAGTTTTGATTACGAGACAGAGCGATAAATTGTGCGCTTTCATATATCAAACATCCCCTTAGAAATGGTTCTAGTTTTCATGCAAAATGCCAAAGCTCAAGACTAACGTGAGTCTTCCGAACGCTCTTGCTCGTTGGCTCGTATTTACAGAACTCGTTGAGCCACAAAGCTCAACAATTTTTTCACATTAAATGAGCCGATCCATAGCAGTTAATTGAAAAAAGTAAATTTATAATTCTGATTGAAATTTGCATCCAGAATAGAGCTTTTCCCTAAACCCTTGCTGTGTGCTTGCTCTTTGTTTCGCAAAAAGTCCAGCCGACAGCTTTCAAATTTTAGCGCTTAATATCGAGCTACCATACATTATTAAGCTTACAAAGAAACTTTGAAATTAACTCTATAAAAAGCCTCAGCATATTGTTAAATTTCTGGGCGACAATATATATAGGTGCTAATTGAAACTTAGTTTCTGATGCCTTTGAAATTGCTCAGTCGGGGTTTTAAAATTGACCGTTTTGTATCACGAATTTTCGGAATGTAGTTGGCGGTTTATAAAAGGCCTTTTAGGGTTTACAGTGTATTTTATCAACATCAAGCTTCTGCAACCAAAACTTGTTTTTAGGGAAAGTAATTGGAGTCTACCGATCTAATTTGGAACTTCAGAGGAAATTAAAAACTTCCATGTCCAGTGCGCCTGATGATTGGACGATGTCTTTTGCTGATTAAGTCGGAAATTGCTTTCAGTGTTCGACCAGGACGTTAGAGAATATGCAAACAATTAGAACAGCAGGATATTAGTTCCACGATTGATTGAATTTGTCGATTAGTGCCAAATTTTTCAAACATTTTACTGGACAAAATTGTTGCATCCTCTTGACTCTCAGCAAATTTCAACTCGCAAAGTGCAAGTCCCATCGCATATTTACGGCAAACGCAAATTACGACCTAATTAAAATTAAATGCAAATTTGTTTCCTAAACTCAGGACCAAAGTAAAGTTGCTATCAAGCACCACTGCTGCAGATTTGGGTTACCTAAGTTTTCTCGTTAGAGGATTTTCATTCTCAAAGAGCTTTGCAGTCCAGAAATGCAACTTCACGCTGTATCTTAAAGCGCAACTTTACTATGTAAGTTGAATATTTTCCCCGAATTCTTTGATTTATTTATTGCAAGCGCCAGCAACATGAAACAAAAACGATTTGAATTTAAATCCAGTTTCGAATCGGGAGCTTTTGCATTTCAAACTGCCTTAATCTTTGCTGAACGCCCGTCTAAACTTCAGCCATTTTGCATAACCAGATCATTTCATAAGAATTATTTAGTTTCGAGTTCGTAACAGGGCTGCTGAAGGCCGAGGAACAAAGTTGTGTGCATTATAAGCCGGAATTAAGTTGACAACTAAAGGATCATTTATTTGCTGTTTTTGCAAGTTTAATCGAATGTAACCATTAATAAGAGCTTTGTTTTCGAGTTCTTCATACTTTAGCAATCCAAAGGGTTTGCCATTTATCCTGTAAACGTTCAAGTGCTACTAACAAGCCGTATAGTAAATACATAAATCGTCGCAGCAATGCTAAGATAATAGAGTTCTGTGTAATGCTCAGTTGCTTAGTTAAGTAGCAGGGCGTCTGTCTGTTAATTTATAGCAGTGCTGTTCTGTTTAATTGTGCCAATCTCAATGAAATTAAATTTCCCATCGAAGGCCTTTACACCCAATTTGGCCCAACTTTTGCTTAAATACTCTTGTCCTCCTGATTTGTGTTTGCGACTCATCTATGATGTCTAACTAATTAATACTATGTTACGAGTTATACTATGAATTTTAGAGTGAATAATCGGTGAATATCAACAAGGACAATTTTCTCTTAAATTGCAATTACTTAATTAGCAACTGCAGCTGGGAATATTTCCTTAAGAGTTGGTTCATGAAAGGAATAAACTAGGAAAACCTTCTCAAGAAGCACAGCTGTGCATTTCAGTTAATTAAAATGTAGATTATTCATTGGGGCAAGGGGAAGTAGTTCAAATTTTTGCATACGGGATGCTGAAAATTGAGGAAATACTTTTAATCTGCTAATTCTAGTTTCAAGGTTTGTTTAAAACGAATTGAATTAATACAGTTTTATTTTCTGAAACAAAACAAACATTTTTATTACTCAGARCGCAAGCAAGTGGARTTTGAAAATTTTGATTGATGATGATTGATTTGCATGTTTGGTTAACCGCACAGAGGCCGAGAGTTTCATAAACATMRTCCAAACCCGAAATTTTTGCCAGCTGCGCTCTTTCATTCAAAAATTCGCCTCTTCCAAACRAAAGCAAGMAGCAACTCRACATTTCTGCCCTSCTTAGAAGGYACTTGGCCCTAAAGATGCTGAAAATTTCATTAAAATCCTAAAGCATTTCGATTTTTGCCAGCTTGGTGATTCTGGATCTTAAAAYTACTAATTATGTTGTCTGTGGTCAACAGCGCCCCTTCTTTTAAAAATTCGCATATTTGTAGCAAAAGCGTTTGGGAATTTAAAATTTCCTGTMTRWTTAAACAACGTTTGTCCCTTGCATTGGGGGAAGTTTCGTAGAAATCRCCAACAATTCCGATTTTCACCAGCTTATCAAATATCACTCCAGTAATCAATCTGTTTACTAAACTGCGCTCTCCCACTTGCACTAAAAAGCAATTCACACTTTTGGTAATTTTCAAAATACGCTTTTATCCAAATATGGTGAAAGTGTGATTAAAATCTCCCAAAATCCTGCTTTTTCGCGTCTCGAARTGMATRTTTGACCAACTGTTCTGGCTGATTAAAAAAAATCGCCATTAAAAAAAAATGTTTAGAGGAGCCTTGGGCMTAAATAGCTGGAGCGTTTCATAAAAATTTCCCTRAATCCTGATTTTTTYAGCTTAGTAAGTATGTCTTCAGTGTAGTGTGTAGTCTTAGTGTCTTCAAATTAAT